ACAAATAGTAAATTGTGCCATATCGAAATCCCTCGTTAAGTTAATGGAAAATAGTCCAATGAATGAAATGATTAAACCTGGATGGAAAGAAAAGTTCTGGGGCTCTGGTACAAAGCCCCATATAAACCGTTCTCATCAATCATCCAGTGACAGTCACCTTTATGTGTGAAACTACCCTGGTGTTTTGAATCAGTTGTGCATCAGCACATATGTACTGAACAGTGAACCCGTTGGCCCGCTACGTGTGGAACATTGTGTTGTAATTGTGCCACCCAGCTGTCAATTTTAATCCTTCTGCGAATTGATATGATGAAGGAGGACAGATGTTTGTATGTGTGTGTGCAGTATATGGTTATGACTGAAGTGCTGAATTGAAATCTAATGCTTTGTTATGGCTCTCTTGAACACACCACTACACCATCCATCTTTGTAGCTGCCTTTGTCAGGGCGGGGGGTCTTGTGTTCACACACTCGCCATCACACAAAGCTTAATTACTGATAGAAGCCTGTGGTCATGGTTACTTAACGCCAGTGGAGAGTCTGCAGATGGGCCAATCAATCGATCAGACTAATGAAAAGCTGTGAGGGAGAGCTGTCACACAGCTGCTGCCTCAACTCTGTCCGTGTCTGATTGTTGGACAGCTGCCAGTGTTGTGTTAATGTGATAGTATGCAGCGTTCCCTCTCTCACTATGCAGCAGGGACGGTTCTCAGTGACTACAGTGTGTGTGTGGGTGTGCTGGGTATTAGACTGAATGCAGGTGCTTCACACTTGGTTATAGTTTTATTTGCATCAAATATACAGCATTTTAGACTGATAGATATCAACCAGACTAATGTTGTGTCTCAATTTGGATACTTTCCTTACACTGTGTATCATATGTACTTACTTGTATAGTGTGTACATTTTGACAGGGTAATGTCTCAAATTGAACATGGCCGTTGTACGCTTACCAGAAAGGTGGTTCTTCTTCTTCTTCTTCTTCTTCTTCTTCTTCTTCTGCTTCTTCTGCTTCTGCTGCTTCTGCTTCTTCTTCTTCTTCTTCTTCTTCTGTATAGTGGTACTTAGCGGGGGAAAACACATGTATAACTTATGTTTGTATAATGCTGTGTTCAGTTGAGTAACCGCAACCACTGCAGCTTCCCTCCACTTATGCTACAGAGTCAAGATGGGGACAGTTGAGGGTGAGAAGAACTTTTTGACTGTTAAGAATAGCCCGGCTCAAGATAAAAAGGGGCCCCGACCGGACAACTTACTTTGCCTTGAGCTGAGAACTATATATATTATATTTTACTGGATAAATGACAATTTTGACTTGCTGGTGGCCCTTGAAGAAAGTATCACCTAAATCATTGAACTTAATCCACAGGGGACCATGAATATCTGTTCAAATGGCACAGCATCCATCTGATTGTTGTTGAGATATTCCACTCTGGACCAAAGTGTTGGACTGACTGACTAGTGGTGGGGGTTGCAAATTGCAACCGGCGGCTCTCGGAGAATTCACATGCTCCTCAGATGGTCCAATTTCCTGAGTTGAAATGGTTCATTCTAACGTAAAAAGAACGGTTCATTATGTAAGGTCTTTATACACCACTGAAAACACAGTTATGTAAATTATATTGCATTTCTGACAATAGATCCTCTTAAATATTACAACCTTTAAAGGGGCTTTTAAAGGAACAATTCAACTCTCCTCTCTTCTCCTTTTGTTGAATGTCATGTTCACAATAGCTTTGACAGGTAAGGCTTTCCCTGAACAAACAGATAAGACCCCAAAACTCCATAAATCAATTGAGTTAACTTGTATTTATTTTGCACACATTTCCTCAGATAAGTTAGCTGTATTTCTCTTTATTTCCAAAACTTGTATACAAGCCAAGATGGTTTCTTGAGGCCCCCTCATTGTAGCTGATAACATCTGGAATTTCCTCTAGGTAGGAGACCCATGGATTTGATCAATCTGCTTTTGAGTCTATGGTCAGTAGACAGAGGAGAAGATGGATGATTTCGGGAAACTAACTGTCTCACCCTGTGAAACTGTGATCTGGTCATGATTGTCCACCCTCGCTTGCTTGGGTTTCACACTCTTACATAACCTTCCCAGAATCAGCTATAACAAAGGGCCAAGGCCATCCATCATGAGCAGAGGCAGTAGTCAGAGAAACAAGTGGCTTTTTTGTCTCTGAGTGGGTGTGATGGAAGAGGCAAAGAGGGTGGATGTCTTTAAGCACAGCTATTATGTCAGTCCAGCTGAGACCTCTCAGCTGCTTCTTTTTACTTTCACTCATTGGACGGAGAGCTTGGCCTAATGATGCTGGACCACAGGGGAATAATGAAAAGAATTTGATGATTCAGGACCCAAATCCTTATTGGTGCTTTTCAGTTTTTTATGTAATCACAATGAGCTACTGTGTGTTCTTCATCTACACCTATGTGTTGACCTTAAAAATGTTTTTAGTTTTCTACCTCGAACATTACATGCATGCGTCTTCCCAGCCACAGCACTTCACTAACTTCTGCAATGACATTCCTTCTGTGCATGGTACAGTAGCTTGCTGTAGGCAGGACCGGCATGTTTCAGGAAATGACATGCAATGTGGCCTGATCTGGTCTTCCCTCCGCTGCTCTGTCATTCTGTCCTCACTGTGGGAACCCATGTGGATCTGGCAGTGTTTTCCTGCTGCTGTTATTGTGTGTACTTTATGTCCCAAAGGGTCAGTCAGTCTGTCCTCAGACTCTTCTTATTGAGGTTGCTGTATCTTGGCTGCTTAGGGGGCAGAACTCCACAAAAAGCTGATCGAAACACAGACATTACATTTACTCATTTCCAAACCAACAATTACAATTGCTATATATGTCAGAAGTCACACGCCTCTGGAGCAACTAGGGGTTAAGTGTCTTGCTTATGGACACATTGGTGGACACGTCACAGTGGGAAATTGAACCCAGGTCTCTCACACCAAAGGCATGTGTCTTATCCGCTGCCCCATCACCTCCCCCCAGACATCTGATATATTATTGCCTCATGATCTTTATATTGCCGATGCCTTAGCAAACAGTTGCTTTTTGATGCGCCCAGCAGACACCAAGCAACGTCCGTTTGGAACGTGTTTCTGGTGACCAGATGACTGTGAGTTCAATAATCACTATTTTTGCGGAGGAAAATATATGGTTATTGGGATGTTATATGTTTCACTATATCCAACTTGCTCTGTAGAACTGAGGTTAACTATGTGTGCTCTTTACTACAAGCGATACCTTTCACATGAAGTATAGTCATTTGATCCATTATTCTTTTAAAATTATTGGCTAGTGCAGCTTTAAAGAGTCACCAGACGGAAGGTAATACACTGTAGCTATTTTGAATTGGCAATTCACTGGTCAATTACTTTTCTTGTCTGGCTACTAATGTCTGTCTAGTTCATATACCAGTCAGTCTAAAGGTATTCTTCATATTGCCATGTATTATTTGATTTACATGCAGAGAAATGTTACTATCCAGCTTTCTAAGAAGGCCTATAACCACTAAATCATAATGACTTTTTCTGCACAGCTGCTCTGCTCCTGTGTTTTCTTTCACCAGCTCAACAGGGACCAAATAATATCTTTGTAGTCTGCTTATTGTTATTATCAAATCGACACCTTCACTGTGATGCTCCTACTCTACAGTGATCCAGTTCACTCTCCAATCAAGCATTTCAGTGGTGTAACTACCAGTGAGGGAGAATCATCACCCCGGTGGTTGGGGTATACAGTATGTATTGTATTAAGAAAAAAACACTTTTGATTTTGCGGTCTCACAGTGTGTTCCGGTACTGCCATTGCCACAGCGGTCTGTGCTGTTCTTTGATCTGTCTGAACTCTTTCTGAGGGCCTCATTAAAAACCTCCACATTAAATATAATAGCAGTCGTTACCTGAGCGGGAAAACCGCACTGTCTGGTGTAGAGATTAATGTTAGTGGTGTAGCTATTTTTGCATTGAGATGTCTCGCTGCTGGCTAATGGGATACAAAAAGGCTTCAGCACTGGATTTCCATGTGTTTGTATTGTCAGCAAGGAGAAGTTGGCATTGGGGTGTCCCACCACATAATTAGCTGCCCGCTAACGTAGAAACTCCACGATGAGCCTTTGTGGCCCCACACATGGTCAGCAGGTGGACTAACCTGTCTGCTTAGCAGGAAATATGCTACTTGGTAATGTTGCACACTTGCACCGGTCATGCGCTCAAGTTGCAGTCAGCTTGTGGTCCGCTTGGGAGTGAAGACACGTGATTTATTGTGAGGGCACAGCCGGTGTGAGCATTACAGTATTTGGTCTCTGTTTGTATTGCAGGCTGATATTCTGCGGTCAGAAAGGGATTCTCACAAAAGCCAGCGGATCGTGGAAGAAAAATGGCTGGTGACAACTATGGTGTAAAATGATCGATGATGACCTCTTTAGATGAGATATCCTATTGCCTTATATAGAAAGCCAATGGGACACAGTTAGTGGACTCAAACCCTAAAAACATCACTCGCATATAATATCAGGGAGGCTGTTTTTGTCACCATCTATTTTGATCATCTACTTTTATCTACTCTACTGTTTTTTCACTGAAGAGACGGTACACCATAAACCTGCCGGGATAAATGAAATTCAGAATATAAAACATGATTAACGGAATAGTTAAACATGTGGGGAAATACACTTATTTGTTCTCTTGTTGAGAGTTAGATGACAATATTGATAACACTCTCATGTCTGTGCAAGCCAGGAGGTGGTTAGCTTAGCATAAAGACCTAAAAACCACAGATGGTCGTCTTTACGACAGTCTAGCTGTTTCCCCTTGTTTTTATGCTACTTTAAGCTAGGCTAACTGTTTCCTGGCTACAGCTCCACACTTAACAAACTACATGAGATTGGTATCTATCGTCTTATTTAACTTTTTTTAATTAATTAATTATTCCTTCAAAAACAACTGTGTTAAGTCCTGCACAATAAATGTCAATGAGAAAGGTCACATTAATAATTACAGGATTTATTAATAATTAATAAATATATTTATTAAATATGGATTAGCAAAAACTGCAATACATATTTACAAAGCCTTAAATAGTCCATCCATCCATCCATCCATCATAAACCGCCTATCCTGTGTAGAGACAGGGTCAAGGGGGAGCTGGAGCCGATCCCAGCTGACAGCGGGTGAAAGATGGGGTAACACCCTGGACAGGTCTTTAGTCCATCGCAGGGCAAAGCCTTAAATAGTCCACTTCATAATTCATGCAAACTTAAGACTTTGGATTTGACATTTACATTTTCATCGATGTGGTATGACCTCAGTCACAATGGCAGTATTAATGACAGACAGTAGCAACTAAGTCTGTGAGATGCAGATGTCTCGCTGACTCCTTCCTGTCAGATGATAAACAGACTACCTAAAAGGATATAAAAGAAGAAAACAAACAGTCTGAACTATTGCATCCAATTAAGTGTCATTCTGCTAGTGTTGATTGATGTTGCAGTATGCAGGCTAAAGTCCTGTCATGAGTTATGATACTTAGTGCGTAAACCATTTACAACATACTTCAGTCAGCCACCCTTGCTTACGTCTGAAGCATGATTAGTTTTAGTAAACCGACACTGAGAATGGTTGTTCTGCTTTGACAGAATATGGACCCTTGCAACACAAACTGCATCATCAACAACACCTCTACATTTTATAAACTTTACAAAATAAGAATTTCCTTGAAATAAAAAAAAAAAACTACTTTTTTTTTTTTTGTTTTTGCCCAAATGAACAATATTACATTTTTTCCTCCCAAAGTATAATGGGTTAATTAAGGTTATGGTTAAGTATTAATGGGTTCATACGGTAGGCAACATGTAATTAAAAATTAAAGCACCAGTGGGATACAATTAAAAAGTGAAATTACATAAATTACACACATTTTAAATAATTTAAAACAGCAATCCAAATAGCTAAGAATTTTCACCATTTTTTTTATATAGTTTAAATATACAACAGGACACTTTAATAAGGGACCTGAAAAACAAGCTGTGGCTCTTACCTCTTTCTTCACATTTGCTAACTTGAAGACTGTCGAGGCAAAAATGTTCTCCAAGTGATGTAAGTAGGCTCCAAGTTCCTGGCAGGTGTTGATCTTCACTATGATCAGTCCATTGAGTTTTTCTGTCCATTATCTTCCTCCGTATGTGCAGCCTGCTCCTCACATAGGCCATGTCTGGAGGGTACCAGTCTTTGGAGCTCCTCTTCCTCACACTTTGATAAGTCGGGGCACCTTCACCATGTCTGTACCTGCACTGGACAGACGGGAAGTTGCAGTGTTCAGGTGACATGGTCGATTCCACTGCCATGGCTTTTCACAAGGAGAAGTAAACCCCTCACACCCGAATGTGTTCTCGCCTGTGTCTGTATGACAGGCAGCGCCGCAGTGTTTGTACAACAGTGTCTGGGGTGGAGTGACAAAATAGTCTTGCTGCAATCCAAGTGCTAAGTGGTCAAAGTCTTCTGTTTACTGAGGATATTGACGCCATCAGCACATTAAGCACGTATCCTCTATTTCTCAGCTTCATAAGACGTCTGCAAGGGCCAAGGCCCAATAGAATTGCTCTTTACCGCATTGTCTTTCTGACGTCTGTATGTGGGTGTGATGCACCAAACACATCAACATATGGTCATGCAACTATATTATCCTCATAAAAGTGTTGTGAAAATAATGTTTTGTCTTCCCCTTCCTTCATTCAATCATGTGCAGGATGCAGATTCAGAGTGAGTAGTAGCAGTTTTCAGACATGCTGCAGTTTGGAGCATATATCATGTTAATAATAGCAATAACATAATAAATAAACATTATAAAGTGTGCTGTTTGGCTTGTGTCATCCCCTTTACAATGTGAGACAATTTGAAAGGTCTGACATTAGGTTATTTGTGTCTACTTGTATTTTATCCAGTCCCACAGTCCAAAGACATGCAGGCAAGGTGAAATGGCAACTCTAAATTACCCACGTGTGAAAGAGAGTGTGAATGCTTGTCTATATACTTTCAGTATATTAGCCCTGTGTCAGCAGAGCAACATTAGCATTAATTTTTCCGGCCGCCTGACAAATTTAAATTCTATTTTTCACTTTCCCTTTAGCTCTGTTTTGGTCTCCACCTACTCCTTAGGGAAATATCTTGCATTAGCCGCTAAAAGCTCCTCTGTGTTTATGAACTAGTCACTAACTTTGTTTGTCTGCGGGTCGTGTGTGGTGGGTTTATCAGAATTTTTGCTGCCTACTGCTCCTGAAAACCAGGTTGAAATTTAAAAGTGAAAAACATTGTCTTGGGAATCATATAAAAGTTTTTATAAAGGTACATTTCAAACTGCCATTTAGCCTCAACAGTGGTGTGCAGATGATGATCCCATGAAAGGTTTTTGACAGCACTCCCCTCCTTCCCATCAGTGGAACCTGACTCTCTTCCATTTGGTTTACACTTTTAACTGATCTGTCCCATACAACCTTCTGCAGTAGTATCATGAATCAGAATCAAAATACTTTATTGATACCTGAGGGAAAATGGTTTGTTACAGATACTCTCTTGCACATCAAGGCATAAAAGGAATAGAAATAATAGTAGAAGTTAAGTACAGAATATAAGAAAGTATAAAAATCTAACAATTAATAAATGTGGATATTGACAGTATTTTACAGTATTAACAGAAGTGGAATAATAAATAGCAGGAATGAATAAATGTAATGATAACGAGTGCTGGTACTGTTGAGGTGGAATGGGTTAAAAATACTTAACTGAGTAACCCAAGAAATGAAACTAGACCATTGCACGTTAGTATTACAACAGCGAATATTGCACAATATGTCAGATATTGCACTACCAGGAGCAGTTAATGACTGAGTTAAAGTGTTCTAGTGTCAGACACTTTGACAGAGGAGTTAAAGAGTTTGATGGCCACAGGCAGGAATGACTTGCTGTGGCGCTCTGTGTTGCATTTTGGAGGGATGAGTCTCTCTCTGAAAGTACTCCTGTGTTTGACCAGCACGTCATGGAGTGGGGTGGGAGCCGCTGTCCAAGATGACATGTGGCTTGGACAGCATCCTCCTCTCTGACACCACCGATTATTGAACAAGTAATGTGCTGTTTCATGAGAACTTAAGAAGGCTGTGTCAAAGAAGTGCTCATGCACCATTATGAAGGTGCCACACATCATTACAAGACATTAAAATATGGGAGTAACAGAGTGGGAGTGCAAAGGCATGTGATGACAGTGCCAGGAAAATATTTCATCTATCAAAGATGGATTACAAGTGGTAGCAATGGAGACAGGTTGAGCTCCTTGCCTCTCTTCTCCTCATGCTTGCAGAACCGACTGCACTTGGGAGACAGATATCAGTACATGTAAATCAAGTTGAAAGAAATCTGGCAGAGGAATTGAGGGAGAAGGTACATCTTCAAAGGCAGTCTTAGGAAAAACATTAAGATAACTAAACAATCCATCAGGAATCAGAGAATGTGATGAAAGTGCTGTTTCAGTTTTATTTAGTTTCCCAGAGAGCTTAGTCATGAGCTGTTGCATTGCAGGTATCCTCTGTGTGAACGCCTAAAGTGAAAATTGTAACCATCAGTTTTTTGTTCCTCTTTTACACTGAACGGTGTCTTGTTGCCTGAGGTGAGCCAAGACTCTGTCATGGCCTTTATGACTCTTACCTTTATCAGTCCTGACATCCTGAAGTAGCCGTGGGCTTTTCGGTCTGTAATGAGCAAATATCAAAATAAGTGCATCATAATCTCATGGTTCCTTCATGGTGAGCGGGTCGATGCGTTGGGGGGGGGGGGGGGGGGGCATGGACAGATATGGCAAAGGCTTATGAAAGAGGAGCAGAGGAAAATTGGGGGGGGGGGGCACAATGTTTCCTCCTCCAAAATGTGTTAAGTGAAAGCTCATATAAATCCCCTTGAAGGTGGATTAGCAAAAATATCTTTTCCTCTTAGGTTTCATTCAGACAGGAGCCAGTCCTGAGAAAGGGGTGTCCTTATCTAAACACTGGATGGAATCTTATTAATCAAAGGCAGCAGTGCACGAAACACAAGTCTAGGTTTTGGCCTTGTGTAGCATGGTAAAAGTCACTCGCTTTTCACAGTTTCCACCCAAACAGTGGAAGCTGGCACCACGTTATAGGAAAGCTCAATTATAATATCAGGTTGGTGTTATTACTGTTGATTATGTGCTTTTGAAGACCCAACGTGCCCCTGAGTTCACTTCCTCTCCTCTTCCCTGGTTGAGACGTGCTCTTTGAAATCAGACTCGCCTTGGAGGTTAATGAATCACCGGCCTGGTTCCTTGTTTTAGTTTCACCCTTGCCCTTTGTCACATTGACACACACATACACACTCAGACACATCTGATTTGAGCCTCACATGTGTAGTTTTAGAGATTGCAATGTCCCGTTGGAGTTGGTTCTTTCAATCACGGGCGGCCCTACAAACCAGGAGTGTGTGTTTTTCTAACCCCTGTCATGTTCATTTCAAATAAACTCAAACATTGCCTGAGTTTGTGCATGCTTGTACAGAATCTAACACTCATTAGATCCCAGAGAGGAAAAAGACTCCATGTCTTGGTGTTAAAGTGGGCTCCCTCCATCGACCTATAGTTCACAGGATTTCAGATAACAACCATGTCTCCTAAAAATGATGTTTACATCATGCATCTATCTATCTGTCGATCTATCGATCGGCTAGAACTTTGCACATCAGTGGAGCACTTCTATTCACTAAGGCGTCTCTGTCCGTCTGTCTGCCCTTTTACTGGCTGGGTGTGGCTACACTTTTGACAAATACTCGCATGTCTCAATTAGACGCCAGGTCTGTTATTGTTTTGTTTTTTTTGATATTTAAAACCTCTTAAGTCCCCCATGTCGCCCACTTGAGCTAGTTCTAAGCTACGCATACAAATGTTAACTTTTTTGTCAGTATGGACATGCTACACATTGTTAGATCGGCTAAATTCTCCACAATCCAATCATTTAGTTCATTATTTAAGGAAACCATGAGCACCAAAGTATAATTCATTCCGATTTACTGGCATGATATGGTAAACGAGAGACAAAAAAGTGGTGACCCCCTACCTGTTGAAGCTGTCATGAAGTCCAAATATGTGTCCATTCCTTGATTATTTAAGTACTTTTAGTCCATATTGGTCTACCGATCAAAGAAATCTTAAAGTTTTTTCATAGAAAATAATCCATGTACAATCTACAGTAACCTTCGGCTTTCATCCTTTCTAGCTAGGCTACTGCTATTTTGATACAGGGCTCTGTCTGGAATATTAATAGCCATTTTGGTAAACATTTTGGTAAACATTTTGGTAAACTACGACATCCACTCTCTGTGGCAGCTCTGTCGACCTCTACTTGTCTAGCGTTCTAACGTCCGCATCTGACATATGCACAGTGGCAGTGTGCGGGGAAAATGATTGATATTCACCACCTTGGTTTAGCGTGTTAGGGTACCGTGTAGTGGTGCTGGAAGAAACGTCAGGGGATCACCGGTCATTAGGATTCATCCTATGGGGACGTTGAATGTCCACATAATTTTGTGTCAACAGTTTCTGAGATATTTCTGTCTGGACCGATGTAGTGGACCCATGTGGTTCCACCCGCCTATTGAGAGAAGCTTTAAAGCTAGGGAAAGATCGTGGTCTTGATTAAATATGGAAACGGTGAACGAGACTTGAAGCATGACACAGAATTTTTCAGTATTTCAGTATTCAGTATTTGTGAAGTTAAAAAATGGATGTCAAATAATTTCCTCCAGCTGAACTCAGACAAAACAGAAATCCTGGTCATCGGGTCTCAGCAGATGGCAAATCAAATACTGCCATCTGCTGGTTCCCTAGTAAATCACATTAAGCCTGTGGCAAAGAACCTTGGTGTTTGGTTTGATAGTAATTTAAATTTCGAGCAGCACACCACAAAGCTTGTTCAATCATGTTTTTATCAACTTAGAAATATAGCAAAAATTCAATCTATGTTAACTTTTAAGGACACCGAGACCATTTTACACGCCTTCATCTCATCACGCCTGGATTATTGCAACAGCCTTTTCACCTGTTTAACCCAAAAATCTATTGATCGACTCCAGACTGTCCAGAACTCAGCTGCCAGGCTTTTAACCAGAACAAAGAAATATGACCACATTACCCTATTTTAGCTTCATTACATGGCTCCCAGTATGTTTTAGAATTGATTTAAAATTCTATTGATCACTTTTAAAGCTCTTCATGGCCTCTCGCCTTGTTATATTTCTGACCTTTTAGTCCCATACGCACCAGCACGTACCTTGAGATCCTCGGGCAGAGGTCTGTTGTCTGTTCCAGAGTCTCGACTGAAAACTAAAGGGAAGAGCGTTTGCTGTCAGGGCCCCGAGGCTCTGGAACAGCCTGCCCGAGGAAATCAGGTCGGCTTCTTAAAACATACTTTTATAGGAGAGCTTTTCCCGATCTTATTTGACTTTATTTATCCCTTTTATTTTATTGTATTTTACTAATTTTATATTAAATTTTCATGCTCTTATCTTTTTTGTATTATTCTTTACATTGTTAAAGCACTTTGTAACTTGTTTTTGAAAAGTGCTCTACAAATAAGGATTATTATTATTATTATTATTTGACCATGATATTTCTCTTCATGTCCTATGGACCTACAAACACTTCTTGTACTGGGGAATTAAAATGTTGCCAGTAAATGTAGGGCAGCAACAATTTGGCTCATACATCACATATTTGACAAAGCAAATCTGTGGTGTATATAAATATATTTCATAGCAGATAGGATTTGCAAATCCAGTCTTCTGCCAGATCCTGATGGTTTAGTCCAGGGTTGTGCAGGATGCTTGACATTGGCACTGGACAGCCAGCTTGTTTGCTTAGGGAAACAAGTTTGATAGATCCCCCTTTTAAGACTCCAGTGAGTGAGAGTTTTAGCTGTCATGCACCATTAGCCTGCAGATCAGTCTCGTTCCAGCATATCTCACGTCTTGAAGGAGGATGGATGCAAACTTCAAAATGACAAGGAAATGGTTGTCAGATTTGTTTGGTGTTAAGACACTAAAAGTGTGTGAGAAAATAAGTTCTGCAGACTGGGGAAAAAAATCTCTTGAGAAAGACACAATCGGTATGTTCATCTCAGATGGGCCTCCATTTAGCCTTGAGCAAGGACATCTGGTCACATAAGTGGTTTTCAGTAGATCTTAGCCGACACACACACACACAAGCAAAGCTTCTCTTAATATTCGTATGGTTGACTTATATTTGCTTTACCCCTGTCTTGTAGTTGTGCAACATTTTAATTTTCAGCATCAGTGGCAGAGAGGACACGCTTCAGCGCAACGTTTGTCATGTCAGCAGAGATAAACGTTTTTCATATCAGTTATTTGGTTTCCCATGCTAAATGCATTAAAGCATCTAGGGTAAATAGTGTAGAAGACTTTAAATGGTTGAGTCAATCTGAGAAACATATGCTGTATTAAATTTCCAGCAATGTATTTGACCAGTTTCTCACAGGTGTAAGATGAGTTTTCACACTCATTCATCTCATTCTACGGAAGTCCTGAGAGGCAAGTGAGAAAAGAAAACTTCTGTCTGATCTAAATAGTTTTCTCTCCTGTGTTTATGACTTAAGAACAAAAAAGAGTTTGCCAGGATAAAACGAGAACAATTTCACGCGAGAGAAAACTATTTAGATCAGACTTAGAAAATGTTTCTCACTTGCCTCCCAGGGCTTCTGTACATTCCTTATTTGCGGACCCCTAACAGGTGACCAGGTGGCTAATTGTAAATAGTCCAGTGTGAAAATTTGATGTTTCTTAAATTTTATTCATAAAGAGACAGATAAGACAAAATGTTATGTTGTGACCCAACAGCTGCCACATGAGCAACTCCATACCCAACAAAAATGTGCACGTACATAATAATCTTGGTCATCCGAGGAGGCTTTTGCCCACATTTTACTGCAGTGACTTATGTGTTGTTACAGATGCCTCCCCTGTCTAAGTGACTGCAACTAAGCGGTGCTGAGTGTAGGGCTTTAGACCAGATTTGATTTGTCTTATTTAAGAGTCCACTCTGGCTCTTTCCCACACAAAGCTGGTGTGCGTTTTTTGCTCCAGTTGCTTAGCTTTTTTTGCCACACAACAAAAAATCTTCAACCCCCTACAATGTGAAGAATCTCAAGTACCCCAAACCCACATCCCCTGCTCTGCTTCGCTCTGCCTTGGCACAAGCCCGGGAGGCAGGCAGTTGACCCGGGTCATTACAGGGTGTTTATGACCCACGGAGAGCAGCTGAGGGCCCCCGCTCTGTCAATTTGTGCATCCTTGAGTATGCGGGCCCCCGCTGTGCTGCTAATGGACCCTATCCAAGATGTCCCTCACTCCCCACCCGTCTCCGCGAAGAGGTGGGCTACTATGTCTTCTGATATAAGATCTCTTCGACTGTGAATTCCTCCAGAGATTCCCCTCATCAAGAGGGATGTGCGGTTTGTAGCACAGACAGACAATGCTGAGTAAATGATTACAAACAGAAATGGATGTTTTTGTACAATTTACTTACATTTCCCTCCATCACCATTGCTGGTGAAATAGCATTATCTGGTGGAAACACTAGAGTGTGAATAAAAATGAGCTTTTTGCTTCACTGAGCTTGGTTTTAACCTACAGAAGAATCTATACTTCGGTAATAATCAATAAAACATGGTTTTAAAGTACCTTACCTACCTACTTTGAAATGAACTGTGTTGTACAAAGTGTTGTCCAGCCACATCTAAAGGCAAAGGGCTTTTAACCTGTTCTTGCCGTCATACCCTCCCCCGGCTGCATCACACTGCCTCCTGGATCTTATTCCATGAATGCTATGGATTTTGCAAATGCTTGTAGTCAAAAGGTCATGTATTGACCTACAGGACACCTCTGATAGGATCTTTTGTTTTTCAGGTTGCTGTATGGGCCAGTGACGGGGGTGCAGTGTTCATCAGAGAATACACTCTGATTAGACGAGACCACCTTCCAGAAGAGCCTCTCCATGATGTCAGCCAAAAACCAGAAGACCCTGTGAGTGCCTGATCATAAAACACTGCACTTATCGGTGCACTCCGTCAGTGTGCATTTCAAACATAAACTTCAGATCTCACACTTCTCCCCTTTTTATAACTAAAGTCAGAAATAAATTAAAATGTCAGTTAAATCAGGCATTACATCTGTTGTGGTGTGTTTACTTAATGCACACACCAGAGGAGTGAGAAATCAGCCATATTACACCTCAGTAATGAATACAAATGAATGATGATCGTGGGACATTGGGAGTAGAGGCCGGGCTGACCCAGCTTGATGTGAAACAGGGCAGCACATGTAAACACACACTTTCGAGGGTGGGGTGGCTTTTTTGCATCACATTTTTTTTGCTCCCACACTGTCATTACCTTGGCCGAAGCAGCTTTCTTAAGCTGATCTCTCACCCCGATTTTTTATCAAATTAGGTGGGAGGGAGGGTTGAGCTGCTGTTGTTGCAGAAATCGTCGTCCAGCTCGCCTACCTCATCATTCCTTTGTGATGCTATTGGTCCTGGTGCAATTTAAACTGTGATTGATCAAAAGTTTTTTCTGGTTTACCAAACCTACCCACATATACAGTATGACCTCCTCTGTTGGGTGATAAGTCCATCCTACACACCTTTCACAAGCTTGACTAAATGGCCCTTTTGACCTTAACATATAGAAAATTCAGCAGCCCTCTACACCATTTGAAAACTGATCAAATATAGTGACATTTCTTTTGAAACATATGATCTGCTTGAACTTGCCATCACACTTTAAAGAAGGATCACAGTTACATGTGCAGGATAGCCTTACAGATCAGTAGCGGGCAGAGGTCATTTTCAGTTTTAAGAGGGGATTAAAGATTCTTCTTAACTTTGCCCTTACTTGTATCTTCAAGTGATTTTTATATATAGATTTGACAGCATTCAGGTCCGTCGTTGCCTTTTACATGCTCTTTTATATCCCAAAGGCAGACTTAATGGAAAAACAATTTAAAAACTATGTTAGAAGTCAAAAATGTAAATGAAGTGGTACAAGCTTACAGAACTGTAGTTAGAAACCACAAATAGCTATCTTTACAGCATTTGGATTTCATATTGTAACCAAGCAGTGTGTGATTTATGATGCACTGACCTCAAGCAAATTTTTGAATTTGCATCAGCAAGTGATTTTCAAACCAAACATCACACAAACTGTATTTATATATCCAATCCCACATATTGCATTCATGCCATCCAAGCCTCAGTTGCTCTTTATGTTTTTTGTTTTGCCTGAATTTGATTGGGTTGTTTTTTCCACCAAACACAGGTGGAAATAAGGTGCCTTGGTGGTGTTGCTTGATTCTTTGGGGATCTTTCCCTGTAAATGAAATGGTTCAAGAGTTTGAGAAATAAGAGTCCTGTGAGAAGAGCAATACCACTTTTATGTCTGTATAATAAAGCTAGAGTCAGAAGACAGTCAGCTTAAGATAACCTCTCAACAAAATAAACAAATCAGTCAAAGGCACACTGAATTTCATTTGTTTAAACTGTGCACAAATAGACAAGTTTATAATTTTTCACTTTTTGTACAGACTAAACAAAAAAGATATAAGTTGTTAATTAATTGTAATGTAATATTAATAATTGCTAGTAGAAAAATCCAGTCGTTGTGCTAAGCTAAGCTAACCAGCTGCTGTTTGTAGCCTTATATTTAAGGCTACGCATACAGTAAATGAGAGTGGCATCGTTCTTTTCATTTCCCAAATGTTGAACTCTTCCTTTAATTAATGAGCTGAAGAGATGTAGGGCCTTTGGAGAGAGCCAGGGTCGCCGTTTGTACTTGCTTCCTGGCTAGCTTTAAAGAATAACACTGGGTTTCAACCTTAATATTGTTGTAATCACTTCTCCCTTGATCAGTGTTCTCTGCAGTGTTCACTTCTGTCTCTGTTGCACAGAAGCATGACAGAAAGCTACACTTTAACTTTTAAATCTTCTCTGCCCACATTTTAACATTCATTCAAGGTTAGGGCAGGTTAAAATGTGGTTTCTTAAATGGAATTGCCATCCCCTGCTACATGTATGATGCTAACATGTCTTCAGATGGGGAGCCTGCAGACTCCCAGGAGCCATTCTTTTCAACACTTAGTGGATTTGGGTCTTTGTATGCCTGTAGCGCTGTTCTATGTTGAATCTTAGTTCAATATTAAGCTTGATTCTAAGCCAAGACAAACGTCGTTTAATTAGCAAGCAACCCAGGAGGCAGATCTCAGACTCCAAAGTGTATTCGCTTTCTCTTGTTTAACTTTCATGAGTATGTGCCAGGGTCGGTTGGTGGGCAATAAGACTGACCTCCCCAGCACCCTATAGCCTATCCCTCAAGAGGGCCACAGATGAATTGTTCTCTCCAAAGGAAAGTGTTTTTCCTGGCAGCCTCAGCATGAGCTACTTCGATGGAATAGAGCTGTCTTCAACTGCTGGGGCCTAACATACCTTTGTACTGTAGATTAACCCATATTTATTATGTGATGGCAAGCATGTACTGTAGAGCTTCAGCAGTGACAGCAATCATAAACAAATATTAAGTAAGTTTATTGAGTTGAGAAGTTCCTGAATAAAAGTGTGCGGGGGGTCTGATGGCTGAAATTCTGTCTGTCTTTTAACATGACTGAATGAGTAAGTCGGTGAAGATAAACAGAAGAGCTGGTCATAAATCCCGCGCTGACTATGCCCACTCATTGTTTTGGCCATGAATTAATTTTTCCAGCGTGTGAGTTTGATCTGCTGCAGTTTTGAGAGCAGCAACTCACTCAGAAGCTGCAACATATGTTTTTGAAATGGCGACAAACTCTTTCTCTGTTAAGTTTTATCAAATTGTCAGATTTACTTAACTGTGGGGAGATAACTAATGTGTAATGGTTCATCTCTGTTAAACTGAAACTTTAAAGGTTAAAGTGGAGATTAAAACCCAGTCTCTCCAGGTGGCAGCTACAGCTCATCCTTAGGGTGACTGAGTGAGAAAGAGAAAAACAAAGGAGGACAGAAGTGTTGTAAATGTCTAATCATTGTCAGAATGTGACGTTGAGAGCTGGGATAGAAGAGAAGAATCAACCTATGGACGTATGAACCTTAAGTACCCCCCGAGAACTTACTTGGGCTCTAATTACTACTTGTATTTCTAATAATCTAGATACCGAAAATAAAAGAAGTCAACACACACCACAGCAGTAGAGAGTTACAAAAGTACACAAAGTACTTTCAGTTAGTCCTCTTTCTCTGTAAACCGACTTACACTACATCAGGATGAATTGATTGCTGCTATTGGTCACATGTTGTGTTATCCACACCAATAATGGCTTGGATATTATGGGTTGTGACAGGTAAGTGTTTGATAATGACAGTCATTAAAGCCCCACTTTGCAGCAATGATTTGAGGCCCGGTGTGAGGACACTTTGCCTGTCTTGACATGTTTCGTAGAATGGCGGTGATGTCCTTTTGCACTGTTGTTTTATTTTCTCACCTCTTCTCCCTATCATCTTTCTGTTCACTGGCTGTTTTGTTGGACGTCTCTTCCTCTCTGCCCTCTGCCTCTCTCACTTCATCACATGCCAAGCGATCCGGGCCTTAATGTTTTCGCATGCTCAATTGCACCTTAGGCAGTAACAGTCAGGGGCATTTTCTTTTCCTTTTTAAAAACCTTCAGGGTGAACAAGTGCCGAGACGGATCTGCCTTTTGGCAGGGTGTCAGGGTTCGGAGTAATTGAGGTTGGGCGAGTGGGGCCGAGGGCCTGGGTCGGGGTGGCAAGCAGAAGGAGCACTCAGCAGCAGCTCGGAGAGCGAGAGGCCCATTGCTCAGCTGCACGCTGCCTTGGCAGCTGTGTTTTGCATGTAGCGCCAGGTGGAAAGGGCAACGCTCTTGCACAATTAAACACTTCATTTGTCTTCATTAAAAGGATGGGCATGTTAGTTTTGGCAGGCAGAGAGGATGTTTAGGCTTAAGTTTTTTTTTCCACTACGTGCTGTGCCCCCTGTGGTTAACACCGCTTCAAGTTAAAGCTTTAGGGGATTTCCGAGCTTTTAATGTTGTGAAATAGGCTTACTTTTTAGCTGTTGTATGAAACCTTTACAACCTTAAAGGTACCCTGTGGTGATTTTGACCACTTGCAGTGCTATTGAGTAAAGTTTTAAAGAGTGGGTTGCAGTTCTGTTAGTATCTCTTGTATAAGGACAGATTAACAGTTCAAGGCTTTAACATGCAAAGTGCCAAAAAAGGCAGGAAGAAGACCGCAAACAAATGGGATGGTGTATGGACTGATGGCAAGCAGAGGACATGGATATAAACCCTTTACGTTTTAATTAGCTCTGACAATGTTTTATGAGGATTGAAATGCAATACGTTTATTAGGCCTTAAGAATATACACGTTTGTGAGAAACAGTGCACATGTTTACTTTGTTTACAAAGAAATCACTACAGGGAGAAAAAAATGATTAGTTAGACATTTTGTGGCACTTTAGTAAATATGCAAATTTCTCATCTTGGTAGGAGTTAGATAAAAGGATTGATGCCAACCTATTGACCTGGACCAGGCGAGCAGTGGCTAGGCTAGCCGTTTCCCCCTGTTTCCAGTTAAGCTAAACTAATCAGCTGCTGGCTGCAGCTTCATATTTGCCATACAGATATAGGAGTGGGATCAATATGTTCATCTTAAGTCTGTAAAGGAAAACAAATAAGCAGATTTCCCAAAATGTTAAACTGTTCCTTTAACTTCCTAAACGTCGGATCAGGTTATTTCAAGATGTCGCACTAGAAGCCTATAAAAATCTTTCTTTCTTCAAATCAAACCAAAAAATGATGCTGTCATTCTCCCATTGAACGCACAAGGTAGTAAGAGGTGAAATCAATGTGAAAAACATTGTGCAGATATTGATTGTGTGCTTTTTTTTAAATCAACTCAATCTCATCAAAACATCACACGCAGGAACACTAAAAACATACATTACTGGAGCACAAGAGCTTTCACTGGCATGCATTCATG